CACCCCCCCCCCCCCCCCTCGTCGTGCCAGTGCCCCCTTAATGAGTATACTCATGCTACGCCACTGATTCGACTGCTCAGCATGTGTCATGTTTTACTTGTATTCTTGTCAAAGACTTATAATGATAATGTTGATGATTATGATAATACCAATGATAATGATAATAGTAGTAATAATATAGATCATAATAATGAAAATGATAATGATTTTAATGGGTTCCCGTTTAGCACTCGTGTCTGTCAACCTTCATACTCCTGACGTTTTACAATTATTATCCTGGCTTCAGCATGGCTGCCATTATGGAGCTCTAACATTTTCAAGGAGTTAATCTTTAACAGACACCCATTTACCTCACCTCACCTGGGTCGAGTTTAGAAATAATATGAAAATGACTTTCCGAAGGACATTAGTGCCGCGGGGGAACACGAACCGTCCGGTTACTTATCCACTAGACCACGACACATCTACAAGTTTCCTGATGTACTCAACTCAATGGTAGATAGTATTCTTAATATTTTTCGCCCTCTTTTGACAACGATTCGATCGGCTGCCTATTCTATATCCTCCTCCTCTAACAGTTAACCACATGCTCTCGTACATGTATTTAGTCCCAATCTTTATCTTCATACTAAACAGTATAGGTTCTATACCCTCTCATCACACTAATATACACATTTAATTTATCATGCAAAGAGCGAAAAATGAAGTGAAATTGATAAAAAGCCCCCTTTCCTTCCTATGGTCGAGGAACCGATCAGTCATGTAATTATGACACCTAATTTAATGGGGATTTTAAGCTTTCTTGAAGGAGGACAAGCTAAATACGACAGCAGCTCAGAATTGTAGTGACCAATAATACAGTAGAAAATGGGTAGAATCCTAGTCGGTATTTATTCTGACGTGAAAGCTTAAAGGCCCTAAAATTCTGTTTGTGAATATTCATATCATTATTATATAATTTAAATCAGAAAACGTTCATTGTTTAGATTTCGGTAAATGATACAACGCTCAAAAATGTGTAGCTAATTCGTTCATTGTGCTTTATGAGTATTCGTTTATTGCATACATATGTGTATTTGGAAAATTGTTTCACATGTAGAACCATGTTCATGATAATGGATTGAGGGGATGATGCAGGAAGCAATGGATGCATTCAAAACAGTTCAAATAAAATCAATCAAAATTGATTTATCTTTTATTATAATTAAATATCAATAATGTTCGTGTATTATCTTTACTAATTAAAACACTTTAAAATTAAATTATATAGTGGGGCATGACTGTTGCATAATGTTTTTACCTATATTCCTTAAATCACATTCACCTTTTGACACACATATTTGATAATAAATATAAAATTCTGCTGATATGAAACAAGTTGTATTATTGCCTCTTTTGATTTAAATAAGCGCCGGATGCTTGGTTTGGAGATGGGGGATGCAGCACCTTTTTTTTTTAAATCTCAGGGCATGTCAGACTATTTTCTTATCATTTGATAACAAAATACATGGTCATGAGAATTTTCTAGAAACAAGTCGAAGAAATGGATTTGAAAGAATATTCAAAAATAGTCTAGACTTGGAAAACTAATGTTGATTAACGAAAATATTACTTTTTACTAAAATATCATCAAGATTGCATTTGGAATCATTTGAAAGCTCTTTGAGCATGTGTCTCTACCTTAACACCAATATCCGACTTCTTATCTACCATATATTGTAAATGTGCAGTACCGATAAAACGTGATAAAAGGGGGGGTCTAACCATTACAAATAAAGTTTTCTATTAACTTGTTTCAATAGATTTATACATCTTTCATAGAAGTTCAATAAAGTTTCATTGAATAGATGCTCCACAGTTCATGGACAAAATTGTAAATGTGCGAGTGTGCATGTGTGTGTGTTTTCAGTGAAAATACATTAATAAAATAAATTACCAATTATCTTGATGGCTCAATTCACGAAAGTGAAATATACTTACATTTTATATCCTGTGCATGAAATAATCAGTCATGAAGTTACAGGTACATATTACAAATATGAAGAAAATGTTGTTTACCCCATATACCTCCTCTTCTAAATATGGTATTACGAACTAATGGAAAAAGAGAGGTTGAAAAAGAAAGTAGTTTATAAACTGTGGGGTAGAGTGGAAAGAAACACGCTCTAATCCAAATGCTTTTAATATGAAAATGTTGAACGAGAGAAAAGCATATATACCCAATTTGAGGACCGCACCTCATTGTAATGTTGAAATTGGGTCTGCATTTTGATTGATTTCTGGTTATGCGATTTTATCGTGAGAGAAGCTGTCTGCGGAAGCAGTTATGAATGTTGATTATGTAGTGCTCTGAAATGCACGTGTACTATGAGGCTTTGAATTTAGTTAAAATATAATGAAATTGATTTTTAAAAAGTCACATGCACTGGAAATAGATATGAGTAGGCCACACATACACGTGGTGGTATGTGTTCCAAACTTTTTAGCTATGTGTAACGAATATAGGGATATTTGAAGCGCAATCTTTTCAGGAGACATTTTTACTTTTTGACTTACGAAGGGTAAGAAAGCTATACAATCGAAGAAGGAAAACAAAATCTGTTTTGCCAGACATCAATCTTGAAATACTTTTCCACAAAGATCCTATTAATTCCAAATTTCTTTTTTTCATGGCTTCTGTAAATACCCAAATCTGTCCCTCAAAACTTGAGAAAAGCTTGACATAACTACCATTACTTCTCGGCTATGTAACTATTGTCAATGTCAAGTATTACCTCTTCCTCTATTACAGGAAATAAAAACAACAAATTTTTCAAAACAGGAAACTGTAATAGTCATAATTAGTTTCTTTTTTCTCACGAAAGCGATATGGATAATTGCGGTCGCTTCTCTAACGGCGAAATTGTTTGCTAATATGATGCATAATTGTTATAGTGAAAGAAAACTATAATCATGAAAAATGATAATTAGGATTCCCCCCGGATATTATTTTTTGAAAAATATAGTAATATAAAAGTGTTAAATCTTAGTTTATAGTTATCGGGTGTTCTAGAATGCAAGTTTCAGTATCACAAACCGAAAAGAAATATTCTCTGCATCAATCTGCTCCTCGCATGATAACAAGAATTTAATCAGGTTAATGTATGAAAATGGAAACCTACAACGGGATTGTCAACCCAGAAATGTATAAACCCAAAGCGCAAAACTCGACATCATCATGATAGTAGAGAATAATAATAATGATTTAATGAAACAGTGTAGAAGAGTACCTTGTCTATAATTTGGTAAGCATACAATGACTATGCAATGCGAAAGGAAACCCTGACAATGTTGATAATAATTATAATAATGGTAATGATGGTAATAGTATCAATGATAATGATTATATGCTGTTGTTATCATGTTACCTCGGCATTAGCCAAAGGAAAGTTTCACTCAATTGTTATTGCTTGTAAATAACTTACGAAATTGGCTATCAAGATTCATTGTGTTTATCGAGTGAAAGCAAAGCAAAGAAACAAAAGCAGATTTTCGAAAAGCCCCATCGAAACCAGACCATCTATTCACTGAACTGTACTAACAGCTAAATGTCATCTGTGTGTATTAGCGCAAATCTCAAAAGGGATGATGGGCGTACTGATACGGGAGGGGGGCTTGAGGGGAGTTGCCCCCCTCCCCCCTCACAAAAAAAAAAAAAAAAAAAATGTTTATTTTTAATTTGATACTAATGATCTATAAATGTTGCTGAAATGACATGATTTTTCGGTATATAATTTTGTATGCGTTTGTTGGAAAATAACTCCAAAATGTAAAGTCAGGCAAAAGATATGCTTATTAGAAGCCTACATGTTAGGGCCCTCAGAACGGAGGGTCTAGGGGGGGCTCGAGCCCCCGGCCCCTCACTTTTTGAAAAATTATGTTAAAGAGAAATAGAAATACAGAAAAATAGAAAGAATGGTGACCTGTCAGTGTCACAAATGAGGTATCAAAACATGGTGATTTGACCTTATTTAAATGCCTAAACACCCTGAGCTTGCGGGGCTCCGCCCCCTGTATGCTTATCTGACCGTAATTTAATGCCTAAAAACCGTGAGCTACTCGGAGCGCTGCCCCTGGACCCCACACAAATTAGTGACCTGGCAGTCTCACAAATAAGGTATCAAAATATGCTCATCTGACCATAATTAAATGCTTAAAACTTCTAGCTCTGCCACCTGGCCCCAGGAGAACGGGCCTTTGGTGATACTTATGTGACCCTAATTAAATGCCCCAAATCCGCTAAGCTACAACCGGGGCTTTCACCCTGGTCCCACACCAATTTACACTTCACTCGCACTTAAAATTTGAGAGCGGTGTTGATTCGGATTTTTTTTTTTCGCTCCCCCCCCCCCTCCCAAAAAAAAATAACAATAATAAATACAAATCAACCGCTTTTGCTCATTACGCCACTGGATGAGATGGGGAGTGCGAGGGGTATAAGTATTCCCCACTGGCAGGAAGAGGAGGTTGTCTGAACAGTTCTAACCCCTTCCCCACCCCCCCCCCCCCCCCCCCCCCCCCCCCCCCCCACACACACACACACCCTTTTATAGAAACAGTCATGTTAAAATTGAAATCTTCTCTTTTTAAATGCCAGTAACAGAATAAAAATAGTTATAGAACGTCCTAAAGTGAGTCCGATTTTTTTTTCCTCGAGATCTCACATCCATAACCAGTCGTACATGTAATAATATAATAATAATATTTAATTTGTATATAGCGCTTAATACAAATGTCTCTAAGCGCTTTACAAATATACTATTACCCCGGTCATTGGATTCAGTGCTTGCCCGCACACAATGTGTGTGTGTGTTTGCGCGAGAAATTCCGGTGCTTGGTTGCTATCACCACCCCCCCCCCCCCTCCCCCAACCACCCACCCATCACACACACACACACACTCACACTCCTCGGAACGGGTCTACGATACTGAAATCAATCATTGCAGGATTGACACTTGAATACACTCAACCTAATTCGTCGTACTTATGTTCAGCACTGTAAATGAGGAAGTCGCAATCCATAATTATGATATATCATCATATCATGCACTCGAAAGGGTGGAAGATGTTCATGACAATGGATTGTCTACTTGGTGTGGTGACGTGTTTATTAATAATAACAGGTCAGTGTCAACATTTAATCTGTTTATCTTTGTATTGTTTTGAAATTAACGAAACTATTGGGCCAAAGTAATGAATACAAAGAAACGCACTGTTGTTTTATTTCAACGATGTCCATGCAAGTTCATGTTAAAACTGAAACATTCGGTCTTTATGATGAGCATACAATGCGCCATTGAGGTGCGTACCTCTCGTATGTAATCTGTTTAGTTCGTCGGAAAAATTGGTTTATATTGTCTTAATTTAAAGTCGGTGCCGTGAAAGTGTTAATAATGGTAAACTGTATTCTATAACTGTTCATTTATTTTTTAATTTTATTTTAAATGGAACAGAGATGTTCAATGTTTGGCTAGGCGGTGTGGCGTGCGCCTGTATTCCAGCTAACAGTGGAAGTTAATAAATAATCATATCTGATTGATACACGTCTGTAAAGACCCAATCCACACACAATGTCACCTCAGCAGTACACAATTGACTGCCCTGTCCTGTTGCCCGTTTCATAAAACTTGTTCTCTATAACAACAGCTAAATTTCAATGACAAATTAGCTCTCAGCCAATTAGATGCCATGATTTCAGTAGCTTGTAACAGTAGCTTGTAACTTGTTATTGAAATCAAGTTTTATGAAACAGGGCCCAGAACTCTCCTTACAGAATCACTTGATCATACTGGTGATCAGTTCTAAAAAACAACTTCCTGTTGATATCGAAGGAGATATTGTTTGCATCTGCGCAATCATGACAATACCACCAACGAAATTATCTTGTGTTGGTCGATGTTACGGTAGGCCTATTAAATCAATTCAATTTAATTCAAGATTTATTTCAATATCCAAACATACAGTGACATACGATATAAATGGTCGACAGCTAAAGGGCTGTAAGAACCCTCACAAATGTTTATATTATGTTTTCTTGGAATTTCAATCGGAAAAAGAAAAATATCCATTAAAGGTACTATGTCCCATTTGCAGGCCAAAAAAATGAAAAAGTTAAATTCCAACTGCATTTGAAAGATAATACTAATTTAGAACTTCCCTAAAAAAGGTGGGGCTTGAAAATGTCTTCAAGTGGGAAAATAATGACTATTAGTTGTCAAATTGACTTTAGGGCTATAGAGCCCAAAAGTAATAGTCTTGATTTTCAGACAATTGTACCGAATGGTCATATGTTTTATGCTGCGCAAAGATTCAATCAGTTTAATCTTGGCCATCACAAGAAGTGGGTTATTGATGTAGACAAATGCTCATGTACCCTTTACAACTCTTTTCATGTATGTTATTACCAAAGAAGAAAAAAGTCAGTCAGTCACTCAATAGTGTCTGACAGTGAAGTCTAGCAAGTAAACAGGTTTCCTTGCATAATTTGAATATGAGGACACTGCTAACGTTTAAATTTCACAGATAGGACATACATGACATATTCATAATTCCTGCAAACTTCTACAGCATTTGAGGTTGGCTGCAAAAGGGACATAGTACCTTTAATAAATGACAATTCTGACACTTGAAATATTTTCTGAATATCTTTACAGGATCTGTTGCTTTGGTTGTGACGAGTGGAGGACCTGTTACCACCTTCGTCGGCGGGCAATCCGAGATGACATGCTCCTTCTCTCCTACCAACTCACAAGGGTCATCATTTGCTTGGTCTTTTGACGGTCAAAATGGACACAGCAGTCAGATCGGCACCTGTGACATCACACAATGTACGCCGGCAAATCCAGCTCGGCACCAATTGGTCAAATCGGCTGATAATGACATGGGTAGGATGAAACTCATCGTGTTTGATACGGTTTCATCGGATGTTGGGAATTACACCTGTTTGGTCTCGACCAGTGAGGATGCTCAATCGGCCCTGGTGAAACTCAACGTTACTGGTAAGAGCCCGATAAAATCATTATGCAGGCGTCGTCGTGACGTAGTGTGAATCTGCGCTATTAGAAGCTTTTAGATTTGCACGTAGACATAGTGGACTGCTACGTGTGAACTCCTTTTAAGGCATTGTGACGTCCTTATAAGGCACTGCCAGTGCCTTAAAAGGACGTCACATAGCAGTCCATTATGTCGACGTGCAAATCTAACAGTATATTAAGCGGGTTCTGGTACGATTGGGGTTGTTATTGTTTTGTTTTGTTTTGTTTTTATGGCGTTCATTCAGTACTGAATACATACGATTTATCTTCAATTATATAAGATAATTCCGTTATCAATGAAAAAAACTGAAACTAACAAATTTTATTCACCAGTACTGCAATTTATTAAAAGTCTCTCGATGGTTTACAAATTCGTAGTTCTGTTTTATCCCGTTTAATCTGGTTAGACCATTCCGGTTGCATTTTTTTGTCAAAGAAGCGAAAACAAATTCCTGAGGCCTTTTTTCTTTACTTGTAGGCATACGTACCAGCTGGCCTCTTATTCAAAATTGTATTTGAAGCTACCTAGTAAAATGGCATATTGAGCCTTCTGTGAAAACTTGAAAAGTATTCTTTTCGATTCTTCCATTGTGGTTGTGTCTAAATCTGAGAAGAGAATTGCTCTTTCAACAATGAAATATAAAATGTTCTTCTGTTTCAGTGATGTTATAATAATCACAGTTTTCTGTTCCACAGAAACCTACGTTTGCCTTTTATTGGTTCAGTTAAAAAAAACACCCATTCTTAATCTTTGTAATATTTCTTCACTGTATCTGTTAACCTTGTTCGATATTCCATCTTTCTTCCCAAATTGTACGTACTGTTTTTTTTTACTCAGTTTTGATTTCAGTTCTTACACATCGCAATCATTGTTAACTTATATGTTTTTTCTTTAATGCTCTCTTTGCAACACAATCTACTACTTCATTTCCCATTAGTACTAGTCCACAGTGAGATGGGATCCATTCTAAATTTATGTTCATAAATTATCTCTATATTGAAGATGTGTTATATTTATCAGTATTTCTACCACAACATTTTCTTTTTTCTGAGACTCTATGGCAATCAATTGCACTTGGAGAATCTGAAAGAAGAATAATACCAACATAAATATTCAAGTTTTCAATCCAATCTAAGGCCATAATAATGGCCGCCTGCTGTGCCCTGTATGACGATGTGCCATTGTGTAATCTTTTCTGTTCATGCATTTTCATCGATGGAACGTCGCTTGGGATCTTTAGATCCGTCTGTGTATATATTTAATGGTGTTTTATACCTAGTCTTTATTACATATCGAGATTAGGCTTTTTTGATAGTGTGGGTTGTCATTCGCGCTGATATATTATGTAATACAGTTGATAAAGTGGGTGGTATGTAATGCCATGGTGGGCATGGTATTTTGTTATTTTCGTCAACCTTATCCGATTGCTCGACCATTTTCGCATGTAATATTCTAAGACCAAAGGGCTTATTTCCATTCCATTTTTAAAGATATTCATAATTTCAACAGTTGTTTGTATATTTTGGACTGGGTACTGGGGGCTGATTTCACCAAAAAATAGTATTTATTCGTCAACATTGTTCACCTTATGGCTAGAGGTTCTTCTCCTTTTTTTAAAGCAATGTTTGTTATGAAGTTACAATAGGGACACCAGTTATTGTTAAAGCTTGATGTTGTACCGAGTTAAACGTATTCTTCACTAAGTATGAAGCCGGATCAGATCTTTAGCAGCCATAGTTTAAAAAGTCATTTTCCCATGTTTCCAGTTATTTTCTACAAAACATTCAATTTCATTTTACATCTTTCTTTTTTTTCTTCTTTTTTTAAAAAAACTACATCCTGAACTTGTACTTCTGGACAGAAGGCAAGGGTATTCTTTCAAGTTTCAGTTCCATTTGTTTGTAATATTTTTTGTAAACAGAACTGAAACTACTTTTTCATGAGATATTGCAATTCCCCAGTAATTATACCATTTTTATTTTCACTTCCTTTTCCAATGGTATATCATGCATTATAATGTTGAATAAAATTTGACTGAGGGCACTTCCTTGTGGTAATCCACTTGAATAGGGATGTTTAAGTTAGTGTTTGCCTATTCCTCACTTGGAAGGTTCTTTTCTGTAATAATCTCTTAATAAATGTAAACATATTTCCTTTTACTCTTTCCTTTTACTAATATGTGTAATTTATATGATAAACCACAACCGAACATATGCCTTATTTATATCACAAAAACAAACTAGAGTATGTTCATGATTCCCTAAGCTTTGCTAAATACTATTTTGAAGTATTATAACAATTATTATATGTAGAGCTACTTCCTCCTCTGAATTCACACTGTATGCTTGGAAGAATACTTTTATATTCTGAATACCATCTATTCTTCTATAAACAATCTTTTTCAAAATCTTAAAAAAAGACTGGAGTTAATGTTAATTCATTGCATTGTCAATAACTATCGAGATTAATATGCTTAATCTTATGGAGGCACAGCCGTTCTTCCCCCTCTCTTCCCCAGAGGAAAAAAGCGCTTGTCTGCATTTGTTCGCACTAATACCGGGCTTGAGATACAGGTGATATTTCCGAAATCATTGCATTGAAGAAATACAAATGTCCCCCCCCCCCGCCCATCCGTTAAGAAAATCATGAAATATTTCCCTAACCTGTCTCCTTCTATTTTTCTTTTTTTGTGAGTGTGTGTGCGAGCGGGGGTTAAATAGAATAAAAACTTTGCGTTTCCCAAAATGATCAAAGAGTCTTTCTTTTCTTTCCAATTTTGGCAATAATGAAGGCGTGAGATCATTATACATGTACAATACAAACAACCACGAAAATACAATAAAGAAAAGAAACATGGATGATGTCAGCTAGTTTCTTAACATGCATGTTTCTAATATGAAAACCGATTCTACCTCATAAAATTATGATATTTAATAGAACAAAACATCGACATGACTAAAATTTTGTTTGTGCTAGCTAAGAATTCAGCTTATTCCTTTTTTAGACCTCTTGTCATTTTCCTCTTGTTGCAGAATGTTCTGTCCACCACCCTACCATAGATTGCCCCGGCGAAGTAAGTATCAGTTCTTTCATGGATCTCTCATGTTCGTACCTCACACCTGACCAGTCTCCTAGTAAGCTCACACGGATCGCCAATATATATCTTACAGACTCTTTGGAAACTCCCTTTGCAAGCGTGCCGAACTTTGACATTTATGTGAACGTCAGCAGGCAGAGTATTCCAAATGTCACCGAGGTAGCAACCGGACTGCGACTGACGTCGATTTGCTGTAGGAGTGAGTCCTCTCTGACATGCAGGGCACCTGATGGACAAAACTTATGTTCTGACGTCTGCATTACCAATGTGCTGTGTAAGTTTAGCAGAGAAAACATGTTTGCCTTCCAATGCCGTATATCATAATGGTACATTAAAGACTAGTGCACAGTCTTGTTCTAAGTGAACCGTAACCATGCTTGGTTTGTCCATACGTAGGCTAAATGAGATGAGGCTTGAATGTAGGTAGGTTTATCGACTATTCCAACGTCAAACAGTTTGACACTGTCTCTGTGACTTTATCTCATTGTGAAAATATCAAGCTTATTCTAGATAGCCTCGACTCCAAGGGGGAACAACGTTGGATGTAGCATGTAAGTGTAATTATTGAAGAGACTATTCGATTCAATTTCAAAACAGAACGTGGTAGTGGGGTAGACTGAACATGATGAAGCAATGAATATCTTGTAAATCAACATTTCCACCAACATTTCAGCCTTTTCAAACATCCCTTTAACATCAAATCTGCAGATCCACCTTCTGACATCGTCTTGACACAATCCCCACCGGAACCTTGGCAGGAAGGCTCGCAGGATGCCTCCATCCTCTGCCAGTCGAATGGTTTTCCATCACCAACCGTCGCCTGGCGGAGAGTTCTCTCGGGCGGCTTACCTGGAGAAGTCCTGGCGAACGGTACAGGGATGTCCAGATTGTCCTTCCCGGAGATTCAGCGTCATCTTGCTGGAGTGTACCGATGTGAAGCCGATAATCACATGGAGTCGAAAGAGATAAAAACGAAAAACATCTCGGTACAATGTGAGCTCCTTTTCTACGTCCGTGTGTAGTTCTTGTAGGAATGATGTAATCAGTAATCATAATATGACATATTCACAAGTTACAGTAACCTTGGACCTAATTTACAATCTATAACCTTCTAAGAACCTCCGAAATTAATAATTGATAATGTTTTACATGGGACATAACCTTTTATTTGATGATGATGATTTTGATGACTCAACAGCATTTGTATTGCGCCATATATCTGTTTGAAAAAACATTCAAGAGGTAGATATTAATCATTTGGAGTACTGGAATACTTTTTAATTAAAAAATGCAGATCCCCCACACATTGATCGCCGGGTGTCCGTCGTTCATTCCGATGAAGGGACCGTAGCCGTCCTATCGTGTATCGTCGACTCCAATCCTTCAACGACATCAATGATCACGTGGTCCACTCCTAACCAATCACCGATCGCTACCAATGTGACACGACACTCTGAGACAGAACTGGAAAGCAGATTGGTGTTTACAGAGAAGGTCCACAGGGGTGTCTATGGAAACTATACTTGTACCGCCATCAATGCACTAGGGAGAGATTCGTTTGTAATTCAGCTGACTGGATACTGTAAGATATTGCACATCTATGATTTTGGATCTTCTTAAGAATGGAATTCTAATTGTAATGCCATGACATTTTTCAAAAAACTTCAAGGATTGTCCTTCAGTTTATTTACTAAATTTGTCCCAAACCCTATTACTGTATGTTAATGATAGGCCACTTGCTAAATCTAAGAAGCAACAATTTGAATGATTTAGTGCACTTTGGCATTTCTTATCAATGATCATTCCACGAAGAAGAGACCATTGTCATTGGCAAATTTACAACAATATTGACTGAGACAAACCACCGTTCTTTACAAGAGAATGAAGTGTGGAATATATTTCAGAAGCTACATGATAACAAAATTTCGTTCAAATTCTATCACAAAAGGTTATCCTGATCCTCCGTACAACTTGCGAGTTGTCAGCTTCTCGGATACGTCTCTCACTCTCTCCTGGAGTCCGGGCCAAGATGGCGGCTTGCCGGTGACGTTCGTCGTTTCTTATTGTGTCAACGTCACTCAGACGGAAAGGTGTCGCAAAGAGCAGGGTGTAACGGATCAGCAGTTCACGCTCGATGGCCTTAACAACTATACTATTTACAGAATTACCTTCCTCGCAGAAAATGACATCGGGAGCAGTGGAAATGTTGACATCTTTGCATCTACTGCTCGTAAGTCGCTAGAGGGTGGACCTGTTACATTATTAACTAAATTGTGATTTAAGCCATAGGCAATATGACGATATACCAAACAGTGCCTGAAACACAATTGGAGACAGAGAATATAATATTGTCAGGCCCTGAAATGTTGGACGACGAGAAATTGGTCAAGATATAAAACTGCTATGTAAATACTTCAATGATTTATGTAAAACATACTCGAGCATTGACCACGTAATTAGTTGTTACTCTAAAATCCGGTAGTTCAAGAAGTTTTGTCATGTTAGCCCCAGTCAGCCAACGTCGCTTTCCATTGAATAAATCACCTACATTGCTGAGACATTAGTACCAACATGTAATTGCTAAAAACCGTTTGAAAGATCAGGGCACCACTAAATTGTGGCTAGTATAAGTAAAACAGTCGTGTAAGCGTATAGACTTTGGTAAAACAAAGGCATTTATGGAGGTTTCGTTCTGTTTTTATTTTTCTTGCAGCGGGGACTGTGGATGATATTGGTAAGTCTGTGATCTTATTTATTTTTAATAAAACCAGTTTTCAAATTATACTAAGTGCCAGGCGTCATTTCCTAATGCCGCGTTAGGGGGAAGCACAAAGCATTTTCCTTATATGGCATTGCTGTTATGATGCCAAAGTGAGAATTGTAATGTAAATAGAAACCTAGATATCCTTCCTGTTTCAATCGAAGTGTAGAATAAAATGCCAATGACAGTATTGCGATCAATTATTACAAGAATTTCCTCGAGTGGAAGATTGTAAATACTGAGTTAATCTTGCTTGAAATATGGTAAATCTTTCATTGCATCTATTTACACATTCCCTTTCTTTATCAGGTATAAGTGCAACATATGAGATGAAATCGGGAAGACTCGACATTTCTTCGACTGAAAGTGATACAAGCGACCTTTGCATCCATGCTGAGTATCATGTCGGAGGGTTGCGTAATAGGAATGAGACGTGTTTACTTCCGGGTCAGACGGTGTACATCCGGAATGGCGCCAGAGAGCATCAGCTTTGGCTGGTTGTATGTGGGCGTGGCGTGTGCAGCGCTTCATCTCGTGTGGAGTACCTGGATAACACCGATGAAAGATGGAGTATGTATTCTAACCTGTCAGACAATCAATCAAAGATGAGATTTGTTGAAATTTGGACAACCCTTTGAGACAAACCTAGCTAGACATGCCCTTAAAATGACGCGTACACCCATCCACCCATACCCACACCACACATAAACATACACACAATAATATGTGCGTCTAATATAACAAAAGATGTAGTGATGGTAAACCGTAATTTGTACGAGAGAACATGAGACTATTTCAAACTCGAATATTTACATTGATCTCATACTAGTAAAAATGCATTTCTCTTTTGTCCTGCTATAGCCATTAAGAAAGTTGGAAAATACATATCTCGCAATCAATTTACAAGAATTGCTTTTCTTCATCATTTTCGAAATGATTTTATTTTCTATATGATTTGTTCTAGGTCTGCTTTTCATCTTGGTTGTTACACTGGGCGGTTGTCTGGGAGTCGTTGTGTTAGTCCTTCTCTTCTTCGGCTTGTATCGCTTAATATCCCAAGAAAGACGATGTAAGAACAACTTTCACTATTTATTATCAAACATGATTTGCTTAAAGCTATAGACCAGTTCTGGTCATGCAATTGCATTGTAAAAGAAACGTTGTGGAATCGATCAGAAAAGGTTGATCATCTAGCATATAAGTATTGGTGTGTACTGCAAGGGTCTGGAATCACCAAAATGATAAGAAATTTGGTCCAGTCTTGGTAAAGTTACAAGCACTGTACACAGAAAGATGAATATGGGACTACCCTATATCTATCCAGTCCGGATAGATATAATAATTTACCAAATATATCAATTAGTAGGCGGTTTCCCGGCAACACTTAAATCGTCACGTATTAGTCGAAACATATTCTTTCACATGATTGGTAATAAGAGCTTCCATTTCATTTTTTGAGAGAAGAGCGTTTCCAAAACTGGTCTTTACCTTTCAATCTGTAAGCGGTTCTTTCTGATAAAGGCCATCTTCCTTAAAATCAAAATTCATTTCCGGTTCTATATGAGGCTACTAAGAACTCATCGAAATGCTTTTCTAAATTGATTTCTAGCAGCTTTTTCCCACATTTTAGAGGAAAGTTTGGTCGCTCAATTTTCTACTTTCAAAATTGATGTAGAACAAATAACGATATATATTTTACTTTCTTTTAAATTTAAGCATGGAATTCTTTGGACTTAGACGGCATGTCGAGTATTCAACGTGCTCTCCCCATACCCCCTGCATGCGCCCTTGCGATAGGAATTGGGTCCTCTTCTCTCAGGAAGGATGATGACACGGAAACTGTAAGTAATCTTTCGGCAAGAGAAGTTATGATTTTGACAGGTTCTACATTTCTCTTTTAACTTTTCTGCAATGTATATACTTGAATAATGTAATTTTCCTGGTTCTAGCTTAGTTATTTAAATTTGAAATGAGTTTGATTGTATGCACCAAACAAAACAAAAATAGAAGGATGACAACAAAATTAAACAAATGTAACAAGCCATCTATACTGCAATCGTAGTCGAAAAATCAGTGAGTCGGAAAAATATCGTTAAGAAGGATGTAATTATGATAAATATGTGTTTTAACTAAAATATTAGAAAAGAATGTCACAATTCGTAATTCTGATTTGCCGTTATCTTCATGTTTTCAGCAGAACTATGATGCGATAGAGAACCTCAAGGGTAAGGAAATAAGTGATAACCAGCGTAACGCAAGCATAAATGCCTCGAAGAACACCACCACTCAATCAACAACCAAGTCCCCTCAAGACGATGTGTTTCCTCGTACACCAGACGGCTACATGAAGATGGATGCAGGCAAGACTGCCATTCCTCAAGACCAAGGCACTTACACCACTCAATTACATTCTGGACTTAACTCAGGAAAGGAACCAGAGGCATTTTCTTACGGAAACACCATCGACCAGAGTTTCGTGACAAGCATGAGTTGCAAGGGTGTTGACCTGCCTCGCATCGAGGTCAACGATGATACCTACACTGTCGCCGAACGCAACAAGGAAACCGTTTCTGACTACATGGTACCGACCAGTCCAGGGTGTGATGTTCAAGACACTGCAATGTGACATTGTAAACAAAAAAATCCAAGTCAACTGCTCCGGCCTCTTCCACACCCGGACGCTTCCATGTTTCGTAAGGTTTAAAAGACAGTAAACGCGATTTATATGAGCACCTCTAACCAGCTTTGCACAAAAATATTAGACATCACACTCTCATTTTGTGAGATAAAAAGTCACCGGTGTTGTGAAAGGCCAGGGCGCCTCGAATATCTTCACTCATAAATAATATTCTAGGACACATTCGATAGCTTTGCGGTATCTTATTCATTCATTTATTTATTTCGTTTTATTTCAACAGGGTAGCCCCATCAGTAGTTAAAATACTGTTATACTTGGGGACCCTGCATAACATAAAAATATATATAAAGACATACATATATATGAAAACATCATTACGTGGTATCTTTGTCAATTAGTTTGCTTAAAACATTATTCTGAATTCAATTTGTATATACTATTGGGTCCAAGTAATATATTTCAATATCTGGTTGATAAACAAGTGGAATGAACAAACATTTTGAACGTGCCCTTTAGATTTGGTTGGTACCCAGATAGTCAAAAGTGGTCTAAAAATGTATGACTGCTAAGTGTTTCTTGTATCAAGATTAATCTTCATGTAATTCATTTAGTGTAAGTTAATCGAACAAAAACCTTTGTCATAAATAAGGGTTCTCCAACCGTCTAACGTATCTACAGGGTTTGAAAAATCTAAATTTGGTACATGAATACAAGAAAAAGGCTTGACACAAAGATGTTCAATATATCAGAAAAATGCAAATACATTTTGGATACTTGATCGAAATACTGACGAAAGATGAGACGCGGGCATTACATCAAAGCATATTGCTATACAAATTAGGGGAAGTGTTTCTTTGTTTGTATTACAGTACTGTACTGTATAGTCTTCGGGAGTGGTGTTCAAATTTAAGCAATCTCATAAAAAAAATTCTTGTTTGTATGATGGAACATCAAGTTATAAATAACGCACGAAATATACTGATATATATTCGGAAGCACTTGTTGAAAGTTTCTGAAAGAGTTTTCTCTTGGAATGTTATGAACTGCAATATTGTCTATATACATTTTGCACTGATTTTATATTTCGAATATATACATCTGTTTATTTTTGTAAATTTTATGAGACATATTTTTCTTCAGAATATATTGTTTTTTCTGTTCATGGTTGGGTAAATCAATTTTATGAAACGGATTGACATTCACCTTCTTCTTTCCAACCAAGTCACTGTTCGTATTCATCTTAATCATACTTTAAAGTTTTCCTTTGATTCTTAAGTTTAATTTTATGGTTGTCGATTATTACTCACACATGTACATATTCATTGTATATTTTGAAGAGATATGATGCACACCAAATAAGCTCTGTGTATTAGATTTATTAAGGCTGAACTACATTATATGATGTTCAATTATTTGAAATAAAAATTGCGGGATTTCAGATTAATGACAATATAGTGTCGATTTTCAAGCAAAAAAGGGCATAAACAAATAAATCAAACACACAGGAATATATCGAGACAGCACAAAAACGAATATCCTCGTTGTTTTAATTATGACCATCCAAGAACTTGTATGAATCCTCTTTCAAATTTTAACTAGATGGTTATAAGAAAGACATGTTTTTGAAAAAGAAAGATTGGTATTGTAAATTTAAATATGTGGGATCCTATTGTCATGGTTTTTTGGTTCAAGCTAGAATCTAGTTCAATGCTTCATTATAATGTTTTTCAAGAAATGAAGCATGTTTCTAAAAAAAATAAATGTTACCACTTGTTTTATATTGTGTGCTTAAACTACTTTCGTCATCGCCCTACCAAATTTCAATCATATTGTCTTACTATTATTTATTTGTTTAATGTATATAAACTGTTCAAGTGATTAAAAACAAAAAATGTGTGATGCTTTTTCATTGTAAAAATATATTATATACTTGTTGGAAATTGAATTTTTTCGTATGGTGTCTTTTGAAGTAAATAATCATTATTTTGATTGACATTAAACGGTTTGTCATCGTTGCAATTTCCAATTTTTGTACATATTTCCTCTAATATTTCCTTTTTCAAAAGTACTATCTTACATATCCAATCACTTATTGTAGTTGTATATTTATGTATTTATAGGTCTACCTTTAAAAAAACACTTTGGATACGAAAAGAACTGATAATTAGCTTGTATCTTCGAGAGCAAAATAAAACAAAAACAAAACAAAATCTAGCCTCACGTAGTGAAACTTGCCTTCCTGTCGAAATACGTAAACACTTTTTTTAACTTGTTTATTAATTTTATCTTGGATACCGGAGCCCACTGACACACAACACTGTCTACTAATTATTACCATTAATGAGTGTTATCTACTTGTGGTGCTTTCGTTTTCGATTACTTGAAGCTTCCCCCTTAGACATTATATGTTGCAATATTGCATACGCGGTTCTATGTTTATCCAAGTTAATCAGACAATTTAATTTCTCTCCATATTATTCAATTCACTCTTTCTTCAATTTAAAGAAGTGTTATTATGTAAACGTGCACATACAAATAAAATTATACGTAAATATCGGAATATAGTTATATCCGTCGCCGCTAACAGCCGAATCACGGGATTTATTACAAACGAAAAGATTGAAAACATCAGATTCAAGGAAATAAGAGTACTATGTAAAGAAAAATATATTACTAGTACAAACACTTATTTAAACACTTAAAACTGACAAAATATGCAAACAATAATTGTTTTAAAATAATAACAGTGTATTACATGGGTGTATTTTGCAATTAAAAGTATAATTATTTATTTTAGACTATAGTCTTGAAAGGAAAAAAGAGAGAAAAACATATTCGGTATGTAAGAAAGATAAGGAGAAGGTGAGAAAAGGCGCTACTTTTATTGATTGAATTATTGAATCGAATTTATTCCATTTCATATCAATTGTTTGCATAATAAAGAACATAGTTGACAAAGTAAGTTCAGAATTATGAAATGAAACATGAACCTATACTTTGTCTTTCAGTTCCCTTAAGTATAATTTTCTCTTTAACCAGTCCCTCGCTTATTCAATGTATTTGTGCTGGGAGCAGGGCTGTGTGGTATGTAAGAAAGATAAGGAGAAGGTGAGAAAAGGCGCTACTTTTATTGATTGAATTATTGAATCGAATTTATTCCATTTCATATCAATTGTTTGCATAATAAAGAACATAGTTGACAAAGTAAGTTCAGAATTATGAAATGAAACATGAACCTATACTTTGTCTTTCAGTTCCCTTAAGTATAATTTTCTCTTTAACCAGTCCCTCGCTTATTCAATGTATTTGTGCTGGGAGCAGGGCTGTGTGGTATGGAAGGGTTTAATGACAACATAGTACAATCTTTCGTTATCTAAGATTTGGTAATCAAAAAATGTTTATGCCTATTTTGCTCTTGGGCTCATGTCAACTTGGAACATGTCAGAGAGGAGGTCTGAAAGTAAAGGGCTTAAACCAAAGAGAATTATAAATGTCCTAGCTCCACTCTCGAAATAAGACTTCCTGCTTGAAGTGACTCGGTAACATTGCATCAGATTCTAAAACAAAATACTGGATTTAGCTCATGCTGCAATCATAATTATAAACCTTTCAGTCATTCTGCAATCCCATGCCTTTTACAAGTCGATCGCCTGTCTGATTATGAAGATATTTATGATTAGAAATCGAAATTAAATTTTGCTTTTTCCTAACGGTTTTTTATAAAACTGTCTATTTGGGCAAAATGAGTATGGTAAAACCGGTCACTCATTTTTTAAAACTTTTTTGAGGCATTTCATGATCATTTTGAAGCGCAATTCTTTTAGGGCTTCAATTTTACACCATATCACAGACACGTAGGGCCATGCATCTCAGACAATTAATTGTTAAACGATACCTTTGATGTGGCATATCCTGTCACACTATTTCAAGGTAAAGAGTAACTTGTTTTCTTGTCTAATGATACCCAATTTATATTTTTCTGCCACGGATGACTGAGCATCATGGTTTTTAAAAAGTTACGTCAACATCTCCTTGTACTAAGTTTGGGCTGATGCACCGAGTATGGGTCAGGCCATATAAACATTGTTCAGCAGCATTTTTCAACAGGCGCACAGTGGGCCAGGGAGGAACCAAAGTGCGCTAAAGGCCATTTTTCGTGATTTCCTTTTTTTCTTTTCCTTTTCTTGCCCAGTGGAAAGATAATACATTGAATAATACCTCAGTAAAATATTTCATTTCGGTATGCACCATCAGGGTATAAATTTACTCCTTAAAACAGCAAAATCTTACATATTCATAGTTTTAGTGCAAAAGTGACTTATTTTATAGATCTTTCAATTTAACATGGAGTTTTTAAGCTATTGATATAAAACTGCTCTCACATATTCCTGATAGTTCATTTTACTGCATGAATTGGCTAATAATGGATAGAAACACAATTTTTATAAATCCAGAGGAAATGTTTAGATTTCCAGAGAATTCCACTTTGATTTTATTACCGTCAATTTTTCTGATGTCTAAGCTTTAGGTTGATACCAGATATGGCTGCCATCTTCGGCCTGTTTTTTTATGTTAAGCTATGGTCACAAATCAGAGCGGCGGCCGACCGATTAGTAGCCTGCTCGGTCGCTGCCGGAATTTAGGCATCGCCCAGCGATTTTTGGAGAAGTCGAGCAGGCTGTAGAGCCCCAGCGGTGCCTGGGCGGTGCCCTGTCGATTTCCCGTCGGTCGCCGGTCGATTTTAGGGCAAAATTGGGCAAAATCGCGGAGCTTTTCCGCGCGGTGTCCCGGCAATGAACGACCGGTGACCCACCGATTCCCAAGCAGTCTCCCACCGGCCGCCGGCTGATTTTAAAGATATTGCACGGTGGCCGGCCAGTGATCGGCGGGGCTCCAAAATACGCTCGGTGCCCGGCCGGTCGCCGCCCGGGCACCGAACTAATCGAGCGTTCGCCACCGAGCGATTTAGGTCAAAAATCGAAGCCGCTTTGGACTCGCCGCCCAGTGACCGACTGATCTCCCCGCGGCGACCGGGCGGCGACCGGGTGGCGACCGGGCGGCGACTGCTCGACAGCCTTTGACCTGGCGGCTTCGATTTTTGACCTAAATCGCTCGACGTTGTGAACGCTAAATTAGGTCGGCGCCCGGGCGGCGAGTGAAAGTGAGCAGGCGCAGCCCGAATTTTAACTCCGTGCTAAAACTTTAGCAGCGACCGATCGATGCGTTAAAAACGAGCGGTGCCTGGGCGGCCGCCGCTCGGTCGCCGAGCAGGCTACGTTTGGGTAATGTGACCATAGCATTACAGCCGGTTTTCCTTGCCA